TATATGTATAGTAACAGTAATACTACATGAAAGTAATTACGAAAGAAAAAAGAAATAATATGCGATAATACAAAATAAAAGACGGTGAAACCCAATCCACCACAATTAACATTGAGATTTTGCAGTAATAAATTTTCGCACAATTTGACGTCTCATAGCTTTATGTGAATTTCAAGCCTTGATGTCGCCAAACCTTTTACGTGGGAAGCTTCGTCAGCAGTTTATATACTCTTAAAAGTTGTTGACATTGTATTCAAGAGAATGAATTATTATTAATTACTTCCACCGTTAAATTATTTCTACATACTCGACTATTAATTTCGATTTATCTTTATCATACTCTTACGTTCTTTCCGTTCTTTACGTACGCGATCAAAATGTACCCCCCTTAAATTTAACGCCAAGGTGAAACGAACATTCTTTTTTAATTTTTTGTCATTTGCTTGCGTTTGTCACTGATTATGGCGGAATCAGAACTGATATCACTATTCTATGAATTTTAACTTCATTTCCAATGTATGGTTCTATATCTTGTAATTTTTTTGCCTTGCCTGTGGTTGAATATTTTTTACAAGTTTTTCATTCCTGTAATTAAAAAAAAAAGAAAAATAAACTAAAAAGATTATACGAAAACGATAAACTATTTAGAAGTCATAGAAATAAGAAAAAAAGTAAAATAAAAGCCGATTTTCGTGATAGAAAAAATACCTGTGCGTTAAATTTCAGAGAAGTCGAGCTTCTGGTTATTTACTCGATGGCATAGAGCATGTAGAGATTGCCAGCGTCACTGCCTGGTGGTACCAAGGAGTGAGTTGGCGGTAGAACACTGAATCCCAAAAACATGAAGGTACGAACCAGCATAGCTAAACCATAACAACAAAATTTTTTAGGCGAAAAGTTTTTCCCCTCGTGGTCAGTTTCACTGGAATCAATAAACGGTTGTCGACAAGTACCTCGATCCGCTCTGTCCTTACGCAGGCAAACGATGATGTTTGTACATCGCAGCGTTTCCTCGGCGTATTCCAGGAGCGACACGAAGCCTTCTTTTGAACCTTCAGGCAAAAGACAGCTTGGAACGCGTATGTAAAGACAATGGCGCCATACCACTGTTTCCCATTCGACGGATGTACTTTCTGTTAAATGTAGAGTAAATGTCAAGCGCAATGATTCGCTGTTTCGCACGGCTTTTAAAAATTCATCCTCCTGAAAAATGTTAAGAAGTACAATGAGAAATGTTAAGAAGTATGAGGAAAATTAGAGGCAAGCTGTAAACAAAAGAACAGGAATTAATCTTCATTTCAATTATAAGTACATACTTGTACAACGTGGGAGCTCACAGAGAGCTGACTCTGCTTTATCCCCACGCCGCGGCTCTCTGTGTTGACTGTAGATACAGACAATGCGGCATGGGGCACATCAGGACCACCACAGAGGCCCCACACCCAGCGTTATACAGTAATGTTGCTGGAGTCTAGAGCTGTCTTCTAAACTTTCGTCCATATATTTGCCCGACATGTCACTACAAATTCGACCAGTTTAATCGATCGATTATAATTGAATCATTAAATTAAAAACTCGTTTCTCGTAACTGTACACGTAACGTACAAGAAGACGATTTCAAACAAATATAAAAATTATTCAATTATTACTGATAACGAAAAATTAATTATTGATCAATACAGTAAAGATTAATAATTAATATTAATTGCATTTTCAATTCTTTAGTGTTTGAAATAACGAAGTCGATGCGCGATTGTTAAGAGAACGAAATGAGAAAGATAGAAATTATTCCTATGTGAAGCTACAGTTTTTTCTTTACATTTATGTGTATTGTTATGATGCTTTACTACCTTGTACTTATCTAGTCGCGGTGCCGCGTGACTAATTACGTTTTCGATAATATCTGAGATAAGATTGTGGAGCAATTTTATTTTGTTTTCCAGTTAGCATTGTAAAACGCACGGCTACACAATGAGTATTATGCAAGAAATATCTGGAATATCTGTCTATGTATTTACACATATACATGTAACTAGCATAAGTTCGATTATTTCCGTCTCATCAGAGCAATTTATATCGAGTGTTCAACAGTACTATTAATCATGAAGAAATATAACAAAACTTGTACGTGTGTTTATCCTATACACATGTATATGGATATTTTTTTAAAAAACAGAGTGAAATATTACGAAAATATTTTTGTTTCTTGTATTATACATTTATAACGCAAAAGAAAACAGCTGACGCGTACAACCTATCACGCATACGCGTTCTACGTCACGTACAACGAACGTTTGATTCACGTGGCACTATATCTATATGAGCACAAGAGGAAAATTTGTTTAATGCAAATGTTACAAAATTACATAGTTTACAATTATTTTTCGTTCTCGTTGAACAGTGTACATAATTTTATTTTACTGCTTACGCGTACATCTAAATACTGCGTTTTTCATGTGTACATTTGTCTCTAGAGGAATATCCGACACTAAGGTGTACATAGCAATGAATCAAAAACAGATTAATTATGGATTTACTGCGATTTTTGTTGTTATCGTGATAAAATCAAAAATCAGTCATTGATTCATCTTGCTTACGCAGTTATCATAAAGATTCGAAGCGGAATTATATGTTCGTAAAAATAAGGGATTATTCTACCAGTGTAATGATAATAGCGTTTCATAAATATGGGAAAGTAAAATAAACATGTTCGATTAAAATTAATAAAGAAAACATGAATGTGAATAAATAGAATACAAGATGGCGATAACGGATATAAGGCAGAAATGGCGCAGTAGTCGCAGAGTACTTACAAATTGCTGGATATTAAACTTGGCATTATTAAGCCCTTTTTACTACTTTCACAATTACTTAATGGTAGACTGGAATTAATATTCATACTTCTTTCTTCGTAAAATCTTGGCGGCCGTAATTTTACCTTCCTACAGTGAAATCAATTCGTTAGACTAGCGACTGCTGTTGGATACGAATTATCGTAGAATCACCAGCGCGCAAGACAAGCGTCCTACTCAGACGAGTGACCCGATACTGAATGAAGCGCCGAAGCGCTGCGAAACGCTTCCTTGTTGAATGTCGTCCCTCCCTACAGTCCCCGTCACTCTTCCAACTTCGTTTCTTTCGATTCGAGATTAATCGATACAGTTCGATTATGTGTCTGACGAGACGTCGTTGTGCAGTTTTTCGTACGTATAATAATTACATTTATTTCTGATTCCAGTTTGTCTCCTACTCAATTTATGTTTAGG